CTCCTGGTCCCTTGTTATTTTTAAGAAATCTTTCTTTTCATGTTCAATAACCACAATCCTGTCTTCTAGATCTGATATTCTGTCCTCACAGTGGCTCATTCTACTGTGTATACTTTCAATGGAATTTTTAATCTCTTGGATATCTGCTTGAATGTGTTCATGGATTCCATTTTTTTCCTATGCTAGGTGTTCATGGTTTCTGTCATTTTCCTAAGATCATCTATTTTTTTTAATCTGTATCTGCTCTAGAGTCACTAATAACGTGTTTCATTATGGTCACCATCTCTGTAGTTATCTCAGAAATTCTGATTTGATTTTTTTCTCTTTTGTCTGCTTTGTTACTTCTGATGTTACTACTTTGGGGAGTCCAGGTGGATGACTTTCAGATTGTTCCATCTCATTGCCCCTTGGGTTTGCCTTTGGTGAGCTGGAAGTCTGAGTTTGCATCTTGTTTAAGTATCTTCTCATTTCTATTTTTTTGTTTTGTTTTTGGTTTAATTTCTGGGTTGATGCTTGCAGATTGCTTATGATGAATAGGTTTATTGCTAGTATTTAGAACCCTTAGGAAATGGCTACTTCTCAAAGGTGTCTTCCAGGTGTAGCTGACTTTTGGGTTTTGAATCTGTTGCAAGATCCTATCTCTTCAATTTATTGGGGATGAGAAGTTGCTGCTTACTTGGCCTAGCCCCTGTTTCTTTGGCACTAGCCTATAGTATTTTTTATGACCCTTAGGCAACCTCAGTCTTGGCATACCAGGAAGGACAACTTATTTGAACAGTTATGTCACCTTGGCTAAAGTAGTACAATCTGCCATAACAATAACATCAAACACATCCTAGAAAATGATGAACTATATTTGTGGTTACATAATAAAATCCAAAACAAACCAGAAAATGTTTGCTGTAAATAAGCCCTCAATATAGCAAATTTAGGGGCCAGGAATTTAGCTCAGTAGTTCCGCCACCTGCCTCATAAGCACAAGGTCCCAAGTTCAATCCCTGGTACAAAACAACAACAACAACAGCAACAACAACAACAACAACAACAACAACAAAAAAAATATATATATATATATATATATGGCAAATTTACCCTCCAGGGAAAAATTTAAAAGGAGTTAGAGGAAAAAACAGAAATAGAAGAAGAAAAGATTAGAAGCAAGGCTGGGGGACAAAGGAAGGTTATGCGAACTTTGAGAAGCTGGAGAAGAGGACAGGAGGGAAAGAGAGAAGGAAGAAACAACAAAAAGAACAGAACAGAATGACAACAACTTCAAAAACCCTAGAAACTGTGTTCACACTCCTATAAAAATAAGAACAGGGCCGGGGATTTAGCTCAGTGGCCCCACGCCTGCCTCACATGTGCAAGGTCCTGAGTTTGATCCCTGGTACTGAAAAAAAAAAAAAGAAAGAAAAAGAAGAACGAACCATCAAGAAAAAACAAAAACAGGGCCAGGGATTTAGTTCAGTGGTTACGCCACCTGTCTCAAAAGTACAGGGACCCAAGATCGATCCCTGATACCAAAAAAAAAAAGAAAAAGAAAAAACAAAAACAGAAACAAGAAAAGAGAGAAATTTAAGAAAAAAAGAAGGAGAAAAATGCCCACTTCAAGGCATGTCTCTGTTGTTACTGGTAGAAAAAGTCAGCAGCATGCAAATCCGAGTTGATTAATCTCACCAAGCCAGCTGTAGCTGTACGACAGGGTAGTGAGTAGCCCCAGCAAGCCTGCACCTTTAGTTCCACTGAGGTTCAGGCTGGTTTCTGGCTGTGAGGCTGGAACTGGACCTGTGGAGCCTCCAACAGTCCATGCATCCCCCACTGACTCAAACTGAGCTCCCTGACCTCCTGTGGGTTGGCACTCCGACCCTGACTCCGGAAGCCACGAGACGGAGCTGGCCCACAGCTGTCAGCCACTCTCCAAGATGACCACCAGCCAATCACTCTCTCCTTGGGGGCATCCACACCCCACAACTCACCACCCACTGCAGCCTGCTGCTCCCACTGCTGTTCTGCTGGAGCGCTTCTCCATGGAGGTCTCTGGGTTGCCAGTCGTTGAATCGCCCTTCCCACACCATGAGTCTGGGCTCAGGTAGGAGGTGCTGCCCGTAAGTTACCTCCTTTGTTGGAGACTCTGTCTTCGCTGTCCCCATGGACTTCAGTTCTCTCTTCAGATCCTTCCTGGGTTCCGGGGACCCACTTCCCTCCTTGTCTTCCTCACGTTGCTTTATTACAGTTCCTGGACACCAGACTTCAGAGAGGCCCGCTCTCTGCTGCTCACCACTCCGCCATCTTCCTGGAAGTCCCATTGTTTATAATTTATAGCAACAGTAAAAAACAAAACAAAACAACAAATAAACAACTTGTCCTGCTGTTCCTTATGACATAAAACTTTAACACAGCACGTGGAGCCCTGTGTCTGGTTCCCTGCTGGGCTCTGTGACTTGTCCATCGATAGATGTCCAGCAAGAGTTAGCCATACTAGAAATGACAAATTCATCCTTGGAGAAAATCTGCAGCCTTAACAGACAGAGCCTGTGACTCTCAACTGATTTGCTTGGCCCGTGGTAAGGAAATTGTACCAAAAGATATATTTGAAAGTATAAAGCAACTGGATTGCAATCTTTTAGGGAAGACAATTTCTACCTATTATATTAAATGATCCTGTTTAGACCATCACCCTGTGGCCAACAACCTACCATGGTGAAGAAAATAGTACCTTCAATGTTTATTTTAGATCCACCTCACCTTCAAATTTGGAAAATCATTGCTCCCCACCCCCGTTAATTTCAGCACATTTAAAGGTGCATGGGCCCTGAAGGACAATGGGCATGCTGCCCAGTTCAGCCCAGCATGGTGGTTATTTCCATCCTGAATTACAGTGTGTGTTCAAATTCATGAAAGCCATGTGTGATATATATTTGATGGAGGTTTTTCTCTAAGAGCCATAATATCATTTGAGAAAACGTTTTGGAAATTAAGATAAGACTGCTTGAACTTCTTGGCTGTATTTCAGAACATCTCAGATCATATTCCAGGATGGGAAAAAGTCACAGATCATAAGGGACAGGCAAAGTGAGTTACTGAAAGCTAGCAGGCTGAGTTTGTTTGCTGGTTGCCCAGCCCCCAGGCCTGCTTAGGATTTAAGATTCCAGGAAAAAGCACTGGTCATGTGATTTTTCAGCACTGCTGTTGACTAACCCCAAAGCATAGGATAAGACACTTATTTACCTAGTTTAACTTTTAATTTTCCAAAAAGTTATATTTGGGTTAGGTTTTCCCAGGTCCCTTCCTCCTATCGGTAAAATAACTTTTCTGGTAGTTAACCATTCTTCAAGGCTGAGGAAGAAAACACTCAGCAAGCAGAAATTCTTTAGGAATTGTAGGCCTTCTGCTCTGGTGGTTACTTAGTGACAGAGTGCAGCCAGTGGGTTAGTGACAAGGACCAGGGACCGAAGAACCCAGGCCAGGTTTAACTACCTGGTGATCTTCTGAGCACCTGAGTTTTAGTGTTAAGGAGTTCCTTTTTCTCCGGTAGTGAGGTTGAGTGAAGTAGCTCTTCTGCAGTTACCTACACATTGCAGGGTAACTTTTTTTTTTTTTTTGGTACCAGGGATTGAACTCGAGACCTTGCACTTGCAAGGGAGGCGCCCCGCTGGAACCACTGAGCTAAATCCCCCAGTCCATGCATTTTGTTTGTTTGGTTTTTTGTTTTGTTTTTTTTTGGTACTGGGTATTGAACTCGGAACCTTGAGCTTGCACAGCAGGCGCTGGAACCTCTGAGCTAAATCCCCAGCCCCAGGGTAACTTTTTGTTTTGTTGCTAACATTCAGCATCCCTCTAACTCATTTTTTCATTGGGAAAACAGAAAGGTGCCACCTCATAATAGTTGCCAGCTTACTCAGGAAACAGAAAACTGCACAACTGCTGAGCTGGTGTGGACGGAGCGCTGTCCTAGGCTGGGCAACCTGGCCTGCGCAGAGCAGGAAGGTCGGTCTTCCCCGGTGGGGCTTGCTATTGGTGAGAGATGAACAAGTGACAAGGACTTTGAGGACAGCAGAGAGGTCATCCTGGAGTGCAGTGGTCTCCCCCTGGCTCTCTGTCCTCTTGACGTACAGGAATAAACACGAGTGACCAGGGAGTTCACTGAGGCTCCCAGAGTCCCAGGTTCTTCATGTGAAAAATGCAGATTACAGTGACGCCTAGGCCTCGCTGCCATTTTCACCGTCCTTGGGACACACGTGTGGCCTCTGCCTGAGAACAGAGCGTGCTGCTCGCATCCACTCTGGCCCACCCGGGACCACCAGGCCCCGCCCTGGGGTGAGCGTGGGAAGCAGCTGTCCGGCCACCCAGCAGCTCTTCCGTTCCTGGAGTGTAGGGGCTTCTTTAGGGGAGGCCAAACTGATGCTTTACGCTCCTGGGGTAGAAAACAGGGCAAGAGCCCCGCATCTGCAGAGACCAGCCCGTTCTGGGTTGTGAAGGGCACTAGAGGTATTCAGACACCACTTTGGTAACCGTGGGTCACGTGTGTGTGTGTGTGTGTGTGTGTGTGTGTGTGTGTGTGTTCCTGGGGACTGAACCCAGGGCTTCACTCTGAGCTGCATCCGAAGCCTTTTTTCATTTATTTTGAGATAAGATCTCATTAAGTTGCCTAAGCTGGGCTCACACCTGCAATCCTCCTGCTCAGCCTCCCAGAGTGCTGGGATTACAGGCTTGTGCCGCCATGCCCAGCAGGGCCCCGGGTTAGTACTCACCGTGTTTGGGTGAGTGTGGTATGCACTGGCTTGAAAGTCCCTCCCAACCTGACTCTTACTGGTCTGCCCTTTCTGCACTTCATCCAGACACGTGCCTGGAAGGCGTCTGCATCGGGGGCCGGGTGAAGTCAGGCTCTGCCAGGCCCTGCCAGGCCCTGCCCCGCCCTGCCCCGGTGCCACGGTCCCAGGCCTCTGGACAGGTGCACACGCTGGCGGCACTCCCATCCGCAGCTGCCTCTCTCCCCACAGTGCTCCAAGACCTGTGGCGAGGGCTTCCGGTTCCGCCGGGTGGTGTGCGTGGACGAGAACCAGGGCGAGGTTCACAGAGCGCTTTGCAGCTCCAGCCAGCGGCCCACAGACCGAGAGAGCTGCAGCCGGCAGCCCTGCGAGTACGTCTGGATCACGGGAGAGTGGTCGGAGGTAGGTCCGGGCTGTGCAGGGCAGCCTGTCCCTGCTTCCGCTGGGAGGCTCCAGACAGCAGTGGGGCGGGGCGGCTTGGCCCTCTTGGCTGCTCTGCCCCGTCCTGCCTGTGTGGGAAGGAGGGCTTATCCCAGGAGCTGAACATCCGCAGGCTGCCGTCGGCTGGCTCCCGGGAGAGGGTGAGTGTGAGAAAGCATCTCGACGTCAGGGCGACAGCGGGGGAAATGCGGACTGTGGCCAGCAGCACATGATGCACAGGAGCAGGCTCCCTGCCTGTTCCACTGAAGCCACGCAGAAATGGGGTCCTCTGCTCCCCAGCCGGATTTCCCCCGAGAGAACAAAAACCTGGACTTCTTTATATGAGCTCCCCTAGCTTGAAGATGTGGCTCAGATTTTCCGTTTAAAACACTGTGCAGGCAAAACCAGACTATTGATGAGCCAGATGTGGTTGCCCACCTAACAGTCTTTGCCCGTCCAAAGAATCACAAGTGTCTGTTTTTCTTATATCCTCCCTGTGCCTGCCTGGATGCCTTTTATTATTAATAGACCAAAGGTAATGATAGCATGACTGTCTGATTTTCAAGCCTCACAAAATTTTCAACAGCTGAAAAAATCTGTCATATCAAAAACAATTGCCCTTTACCCAGAAGAGCTCAGAGATGCGAAAGGGGAGTGGCTGGGCTTGCAGAAAAGGTGCTGGTGACTTAGGGAATGTCCTTGCTACCGCAGGGTCTTGCCAAAGCTGGACGGTGTGGTAGACTCCTGTTATGGGATGAGTATTTGCTCTAGATGGTGTGTTTCCTGCTGTCAAGTGCACCCACCCTAATGCCAGCCTGAGGTGCGTGTGTCCGAGGCAAGGAGCCCGGCAGGCTCGAGTGGCCGCTGCTGAGAGTTCAGAGCAGGCCCTGGCGCAGGCTCCAGGCAGAGGCTCCCGGTCTGGTCCAGGGCACCTGGCTGCTCTTTCCTCCCTTGGGCCCTCCTGTTCTGTGGTGCCAGGCTGCTGCAGAGGCACCCCGTCCAGAGAGGAAGAGCCCCGTGTACACCCCTCCTCCTCCGAGGTCTCTGCCCTCCGCTGCTCCTCAGGACAGTCTCTTCTTGGCTGTGGCTGGAGTTGCTGTGCCTCTCACTCACCAGGATACCCTCTCAGCCAGTTTCCCGGGCCATGCTCTCATTTCGCTGGAGGAGTTTGGTCTCTAAGACTCGAGCCATTTGCCTCTACTGCTGCCATGCAGACTTAGTCTGTGACACGGGAGATAGGTTATCGGTCAGAACTGTGCCCATCCGTTCACAGATTTGCAGGTGCATTATAGACGGAAAAGTCTGCATAGTTAGCCAGGTGTGCTGGTGCATGGCTAGTCTTGGTGCTGCTAGAGGCTGAGACAGGAGGGTGGCGAGCTCACGCCGAGTTCAAGTGCTGAGGATACAGCTTGGTGCAACGGCAACGGCCCTGGATTTCATCCCCAGTACTGAAAAGGAGATCTGCAAATGTATAGGCAGACTAGATGTTGGAGGCAGGACTAGGCACAGTACAAGCAAGGATTGCAGGGGAGGAGCCTGCAGGGGAGGGAGCCGAGGTGCCACAACGAGGTGCCCCTTCTTCCTGGGGCCTGCTGCTGCCGGGTCCTTTGGGCTGCCTGAGTTCGCAGAGGCCTGGCCCAGGCCCATGGAGAGGGGCTGTGTCACCCAGGGCCCCAGTGAGCCCCAAAGGGCACGGAGGTGTTGGAGCTCACATGCCGACTGCTGACTGTTGTGCTTTGCTCTGCTGTTGCTCTAAAGTGAAAAGCAATAAGAGCTCATGAAGAACCAGGCACAGGTGACCGGAGGGTGATCTAAGCGGCCTCCGAGGGAGGAGCTGTTCACACACTTCCAAGCGGGGGTCGGAAATGGTTGGAGGAGGCCATGGGTAGGGAGTGCGTGTTGTAGCGTCTGTCCCTTCCAGCTGCTTTCCAGAAGTGGGGAGGCCTCTGAGTCAAGCGGACCATATTTGGGCTCAGTCTCTCAGCAGATGCCTGCCCCCACATAAATGGCCATCAGACTGCTCTTGCTGCTGTGGGTTGGGGCCAGGGTCTCGGCTTCTGCATTCTCCAACATACCGTCAGCTCTGCCCAAGGGCTGTGTGCTGGGCCAGGCCCCCAGGACACCACGGCAGGGACAGCCAGCTTGCTGCCATCCGTCCACGCAGAGACGCTGGGCTCGCCTGCATTTCCTTGGCCTGGTGTCAGCTGGGCATTCGGGCATTTGAACAGCGGTGGCCAAAGAAGGAAGAAAAGCACGAACTGTGTTTACAGAGCTGGAGCCAGCTGAAAGGGAAGGCTGGGCTGCTCGCATGCCTCTGCCCCACCGTGTTCCCTCCTGCCTCTGGGTTTTCATCAAGGCAAACCTCCCTGCAACATCACAGGAGAGGAAAACTGTCAGGGAAGGGCAGGCATGGGCTTCTAACCACCCTTGTGGGTTGGTGAAAACCCTGGTCCCTTATCCCAGGACATGCCTAACACTTTCGGGGAGCCTGCCCTGGCCTCCCGAAGAGCCAAGCGTCTAGAGGATGCTCGATTCCACCCTGGTTCTACTCGAGAAATTGGACTCAGTTTATAAATATAAACTATAACTCAGTTTATTTGAAATAGTAATTGATATAAAATACTTTGATAGGGAGGCAAGACGCATTGTCAAACTTTATCAATAACTAATTCAGTGTCCCATCGCAGAAGGGAGTACTGAGGCACATGTTCCCTCTCCGACTCTGTATGGCTGAATCTTTGTAAGTGCTGTATAGTTCTGATGAAACGGTTGCACAGTCCTGTGGTTCAGATAGAGAGCAAGACAGGAAAGCAGGAAAGTGACAGGCTGGGGAAGGTACCGAGCCAGCCCCAAACAGCCACATAGACCAACACACTAGGCCAGAGGACGCAGAAACAAGCTCGCACACCCTCACCACCTGATTCCGGTCAGAGGGCCCCAGACCTACTCGGAGGAAAGACAGCCTTTCTAAGTGGTGCTGAGAACTGCATGTTCTTGTGAGAACATTGAAACTGGGTCTTTGTACAAAAACCAACTCAAAGTGGATCCAACTTTGCAACTGCCGGAAGAGAATAGAGGGGAAGCATGTGAAGCCAAAGGCACAGGCAAAGACTTCCTGAATAGGACTCTAATAGCACAGGAAATAATACCAGGATCAACAGATGGGACTGCATCCAAATAAAAGGTTCCTGCATGGAAAAAGAAGGAACCAAGAGAGTGAAGAGAGAGCCCACAGAATGGGAGAAAACCTTCAGCAGCTACTCTCTGACAGGATTCCTATCTAGAATATAGAAAGAGCTCAAAACACAGCAGCAAAAGAACAAACCACTCAATCAATAACTAGCCAAATGAATTGAACAGACACTTCTCAATAGGAGAAGTACAAATGGCCAAGAAATCGATGAAAAAATGCTCACCATCTGTACTACCAGGGAAATGCGAATCGAAACTACACTGAGATTCCATCTTATCCCAGTCGAATGGCTGGCATCAAGAAAACAAAACCAGTAAATGCTGGTGAGGGTGCCGGTGGGATGGGGTAGGAACCGTGTTATGCTGCTGGTGGGAATGTGAATCAGTACAGCCAGGGGAGAACCAGCTGGAGGCTCCTTGGAGACTGAAACCAGGGACATTGGCCCAGCCAGCCACTCCTTGGCTCATCCCCCAAAGAAGTGGATAACATGCTGGAGTGCCGCTGGCACACTCGCCCATATCGATTGCAGCACAACTCACAGCGGCCAAGCGTGGGGACAGCCTGGGCTCCTGGCTGCAGATGAACGGACGAGGACAATGTGGTACGTTACGCAGTGGAGTACTATGCGACCATAAGGAAGAATGGATCCTGCCATTCGCAGAAAAGGGGATGGAAGTGGAGCACATCGTGTTAAGCAAAATAAGCCAGAATCAAAGAGCCAGATACTGCGTGGTTTTTTCCTATGTGGAATTTTTAAAAAGGAGAGGTGACAGGAGAGTAAAAGGAAGACCCTATAGAAGACCGTTAGAGTGAAGAAGAGAATTAGAGGAGGGTGAAGGAAGGGGAAAAAGAGTAAACAAACCGAAGCATTTGTACAGATGTGCCAGTGTGACAAAACAAACCCATTACTCCATACACCTAAGGTGCACCAGTTTTTTATTAAAACAAAAGACAAAAATAAATAAATAGGGGCCGGGATTTAGCTCAGTGGTTCCAGAGCCTGCCTCGAAAGCGCAAGGTCCTGAGTTCGATCCCCTGTACCAATAACTAACTAACTAAATAAATAAGACATTCTAACAAAACATCAAAGAGCTCTGACATCGGACTAAAAGGCAGGCCTTCGCACTGAATCAATTTTGTTTGCTTTCCAAAAATAATTTGTAAAAATACCTAGCGCGGGCGAGAGGAGGAAAGGGGAGGAGGCAGTGCCCAACAGCCCCCGGGCTTGGAGCTTGGAGTCCACTCTCGGCGCTGCTCGGGCTGGCTGGCAGCTCCTCTTCCAGGGCACATTTGGTGGCTTCCAGGTGTGGGCCTTGTAGTTCAGTGCAGCAGCTTGCTGACAGCCAGGGCCCCTCCCCTGCCTGCTCCCCTGACATCCACCCAAGAAAGGACCTGCCCGGCTGCCTGTCCCCGGGCGCCCAGGCGCGTGCAGGCCAGCGGCCTGGCCTTCCTGTCCTGGAGCTATGTGACAGCCCTTTGGCCCCTCTCTCTCCAGTGCTCAGTGACCTGCGGGAAGGGCTACAAACAAAGGCTGGTCTCCTGCAGCGAGATTTACACCGGGAAGGAGAACTACGAGTACAGCTACCAAACCGCAGTCCACTGCCCAGGCACACAGCCCCCCAGCGCCCAGCCGTGCTACCTGCGGGAATGTCCTGTCTCGGCCACCTGGAGAGTTGGCAACTGGGGAAGCGTAAGTACACACTTGAGTTGCCAAATTAGAGAGCTCAGGCTCACATGAAACGTGCTGCCCGGCTGTCAGCAACTTGACCTGGTGACAGGAAGGGAAGGGACAGGTGGCCCTGTGCTCAGAGCTCGGGCTCCAGAGCTTCAGCCTGGAGCTGACCCCTGCATCCACACCTCCCCAGGAAAGGCCTGGGGCAGGTCCTGGAGAAGCTGCTTCCTGTCACAGGAACCTCAGCTACAACATGGGCGCTGCGGAACTCAGTGAACTAATATGCAGACAGCATGGGCCAGCTATTCTGCCTCAGTTTTGAGTAGCACTGAGAATCTAGCGCTTAATAAGAGCTACGCAGGAGGAGCTTTGCTGCTTCTATGGCTAAAGAGTCCGCGCATTCTCACCCTCCTGTGCTGGGAGAATGCCGCTGAATTAGGGGCACAACAAGACAGAATAGTTCAATAGTCTGCCCCAGAAAATTGCCACAGCCTCCTGGCTTTGGGCTCTGAGGGTCTCAGTCTTAAATAGTAACTACCAAAAGTTGAAAGTTATTAGGTGTCATGACCTTGAGCGAATTCCTTAACAAGTGAGCCTCAGTCTCCTACCTGCAAAATAAGATAATAATGATTCTATCTCAGAGGGGCATGGTGCCTCTTGGATGGAAAAAAATCGCGTGTATAAGCTGTGACAGAAAAATACAGTGAATGTGTAAATGTATTAAAAATTGACTGTAGTAGAAGATACATTGCCATTAATCTCCCTCAGAAACCGCCTCCTGTCTTCAGACACACTTATCCTATTGTCCTTGCCACTTTCTGGAGCGGGTCTGGAAGTCCTTTCACGAGTGTCTTTACTTGCACTGTTGTGGCTGCTGCAGTGTCCTGAATCAGTTCAAAATGTTTGCCCGTCATGCTCATTTTGACTCTGGGGAAGAGCCGCAAGTCACACAGTGCCAGGACAGTGAGTAAGGTGGACGTGACTCACCGTGATGTTTTTACGAGCCTGCTTTCCTGTTGGATGGGACTTGGCACTTTGTCCCACCCTGTAAAGACCCTCATGAAAGAGCACTCCCAGAACGGCTTCAGAAGGTGGCAAGGTTGGTGAGGTAAGTGTATTTGAGAACTGAGGGGAGAATTTGAGGGAGATTAACGGCAGTGTGTCTTCTCCTGAAACACATCTTAAAATATTTACTGACCCTATTTTGGTCATGCCATGTGTACATATATTTGCATGTAACTTTGAAAATCTGTCTGTGTATATGCGTAAATATGTGCACATGAAGCTTGGCTTGGAGACAGCGCAGCAAGCACTTACTGAGTGCCTGCTGTGGTCAGCAGCGTGGGTCAGGACTGTCAGCCCCTGGTGAGTGCAGTGCTGCCTCTGACCCCGCCTTGCCTTGCAGTGCTCTGTGACTTGTGGTGTCGGAGTGATGCACAGGTCCGTGCAGTGTCTGACCGACGAGGACCAGCCCAGCCGCATGTGTCCCGCTGACTCGAAACCAGAAGAACGGAAAACCTGCCACAATACTTACAACTGTAAGTTACCACTGGAGCTGGCTTTCTGTGCTCATTTACTGCCTGCTGTCTTCAGACATGCAGACTGTCTTTAAAGACACCTCCCCGTCGCTGAGTTTTATGTGAACACTAGTGTGGCTGCCCTGCAAGGCGGCAGGCCTCAGCATCACGCCCTGGCCTTGTGGTTGTGTCTGACAGGTGAGTTGCCCCAGAACTGCAAGGAGGTCAGAGGCCTCAGCGGAGCCAGTGAAGACAGTGAATATCTGCTGATCGTCAGAGGAAAGCTCCTGAAGGTGACTGTCATGTATCATTGTTATCTTGAGAACTCTTCAGACCGAGCAGTTACTGCTCCTGTGGTCTCCTTTCTGAGGCACTCTCCCTGAGTGACTTCAGGTCTGTCTTTCAGATATTCTGTGCGGGAATGCAGTCCAGCCACCCCAAAGAATATGTGACCCTCGTTCATGGTGACTCTGAGAATTTCTCCGAGGTTTACGGGCACAGGTAGGAGACCTGGCTCAGGAGAGCCCAGGCATGTGGAGACACCTAGGAACAGTTTCCCGTGTTTATCAGACGTTCTCTCCGGAACTCAGGTTGCACAACCCAACAGAATGCCCTTACAATGGAAGCCGCCGGGAGGACTGCCGGTGCCGGAAGGACTACACGGCCGCAGGGTTTTCCAGCTTCCAGAAAATCAGGATCGACCTGAGCAGCATGCAGATCATAAGTGAGTTCTCCCTGCGCTGCATTCAGGCGGGACACATGCTCTGCGTGCGGCCGGGGGCCGAGAAGCGAGGGAGGGGCTCAGGGTCCTGTGCTGACATCCACAGGCAGGCTCGACCTGCATCCACCACGGCCCCCAGTGCCTGTCAGGCGCCCGGCACAGGGCAGGTGCTGCCTCCACGCTGACACTAGGACCTTATGGCCCAGGAGGGGTGAGGCAGGCGAGGGAGGGGAGCAGAGATAGAAGGGAGCGGTCTAGGGCAGGAAGAGCCGCAGACCGGAAACCCCAAAGCCAGGCCAGTCTCCCACGCAGCCCCACAGCACCACTCACTCACTGCCCAGGGGAAACTAACTCTGCCTGACTTGGGTGACAGAAGAGAACAGAGCCCAGAGTTCCCTTACGACAAGCCAACGCAGAGCTGCTTTCTCTCTGCGGAACTCTGCATTTCTGTTGGGGACATTAGTCACGGGAGCACTTACAGACAGCTGAGAGATCTGGGCATGTTCCCCTGCATGGAGGAAAAACAGAAATAATGAATAATTAATTTTTCCTCATTAACACTGAACCCATAATAGCGCATCAGTTTCCTTTTGAGGTAGATCAAACTTGATTTCTACCAGGATACTTTTAATTGCCTTCTGCTAGGCTGATGAGGGTTAAAGGCAGAGGGGCTGCAGTTTCTCCACTTGGAGAAACGCTCAGCTCAGCCCAGCTTAGCCCCGCTGCGTGGCAGGGAGTGCCTTTGCTGGCCGAGGCGTGGGTCACCACCACAGTGGGCACTGCAGGAAGAGCCCGGCCTCAGCCATCCGCCAAAGGCAGGGTGGGCCTGGCCAGCCAGCAGATGCTTCTGCAGGCCTCAGGCTGGCTCCCTGCATCTGCAGAGCTGCTCTCAGCCGTAGCAGGGTTCAAAGAGGAGCTTGGTCAGCATCATTCCTACTGGCCTTTTTTTCAGACTCCATGCTCACCCCAAACTTGAGAAACTGCCATTAATAATTTCAAGATGTGAATTCTAAATGCTCCGCATTTTGGCAGTAATGGTGCCTAGGCCATAGGAGAACAGAGAGACCTCAGGGACGGCTGCTGAGCAGCCTCCCTGGCTCCTTGCCCCCTCCCAAGCCGAGACACGGTGGGACAGGAGGTTCATGATCACAGTCATCCGATTACGCCGCACTTAAGGGAGGCAATTCACATATTTATTTATGTAGGAATCGATTCCAAAGTCACGTTGACCCCCTTTTGGCTTCCATGCTGTGAGGAGACAGTGCTGATAAAACCCAGAGAAGGAAGCTCAGAACCACAGATGTAATGAGGAAACTGTAAGCACACATCTGGATCCACTCGCTCGCTAATACTTCAAATTGTTTCTTTCTCTCCCATTTCTGCTTATTTCTCCTGTTCTTCCTCCTCCCCCGGCTCTCCTCATGGATATCCTGTCCTTCCCCTGCCTCTCTCTCCCTCTCCCTTTAACCCTTTCCCCACCCCACAGCTACCGACTTACAGTTTGCGAGGACCAGTGAAGGACATCCTGTCCCTTTTGCCACCGCCGGGGACTGCTATAGTGCTGCCAAGTGTCCACAGGTAGGTCCTTGGACCCAGGCCTCTCAGTGACTCCACCTGCAGAGTGGCTCCTAAGGGGCCACAGCTGCGTGCCCGCTGCTGCACTCAGCGAGAGGCATTGAGTAAACGATAAAACCTTGGAAGCAAATGTTTGTTGCATGGCAAGGGCTTGGCTTCACAAGCTGACTCCTGTGCAGTGAATAGCCAGTCCACAGCACAGGTAAAGACTTAATCACTGATTCTCCGGCAGCACTAAGTCCATGGGGCACCTGTGCTGTCCCCTGATTGAGCTCCACTGCCAATACTATGTCGAGAAGTGGAGCTTGGGAAGAGAAGTACCTGGGTGACTCTGAAAAGCCAGCACAAGTGGCCCATTCACCCCTCACCAGCCATTGAAAGTTCTGAACACTGCATGATACAGAGCGGGATCGGGTGGCAAAAGTGAGACCCCAGTGAGACCCCATGTTTAGGGGTTGTTTCTGTCTGTCTGCTTTGCTCTGCTGGGGGTTGAACCAGGGCCTTGTGCATGCTAAACACACACTGTACAACTGATACATGCCTCCAGCTCCTATGTTTTAAAATAGTATGTATACGTAGAGAAAAACTTGGAAGGACTTTTTAAAAAATACTAGCAGATGAATTGGTAATTTTTTAAATAAATACTGGGCCTGGGGCCCCAGATTTGCGAGACTGGCATAGGTTTCCGTGGCCTCCTTGGCCCTCGTGCCTGCAGACTGGCCTCAGCAGGTCAGCTGCGATTCTGCAGTGAGTAACCAGTGCTGTGGCCCATCCTGGGCCTCGTGAACATCCACCCCTGAGGAGAATGACACAGGGACAATAAATCCTGATATAATAGGACATCCTAGACGTGCTCTAGCACTGAGGCAGTGGCTCAGTCTGAAGTCCTCCTTCAGGTCTATAAGTCTGTGGTGTTCAGTCCAGAAGTGGAAATCCACCGCCTTCTGCTAATGGCTCCCACTGGGCAGTTCTGCCCACTCTGGCCTCTTCACTGTGGCTTCTGAAACATGCTAGAATCATCTTCCAGGCTAACTGCAGAGTAAGCCGTGATCTTTGCAAGGAACTTCCGGACTTGGAAGACAGGATAAAAATGACGAATGTGCTGATTCTGGACAGAACTTGACCCCGGGTGGTTTTTTCTTTGGTTTTCCTGAGGTCTTCACAAAGCTGTTGTACATCTCTGGGCTAGGAACTTCTCGCTTTGCTTGAGCCTTCCTCAGTCTGAATCAGGACCGATGACGCACTCCGAATCTCAGGCACTGTCTCGGAGGACAGGTGGATTCGCCCAACCTCAGAGTCTGGTCAGAGACGGACACATGACTGCTCTTTTAGTGAACTCTCTTCTCCAGCTTTAGAAGAGCATTGCTAACCATTTAGAGAGGTGAAAAGGAAGCTCTCAAGGGAGAAACAATAAACAAAGGACATAAAGGTAAAAAAGGCCTTTCCTCCTGACCCCAGAATTGAAAACTTTTGAAGTGCAAGTTTCCTCAGGGCCCAGTGGTTTCAGACTCCCCATCTCTGGGCTGCATTTGGATGGCCACAGGGCTGGCCCTGGCCGCTGGATGCTCTTGTTCCTCTAAGCACATCCTTTGGGAAGTTTAGATAAATGAAAGAGGATTTGCATTCATTTAGTTTAATAATTCAGGAACAAATGACTGATTGATTGCTAAGTAATGACAAGGAAGTGACTCCTAAGTGGGGAAACCCAAAGCCAGTGAGAAGCTAATTTGTTTTCCCCAGCCTGTTCTTCAAGCCTGCTGGGTCCCTGACTGTGCCGCAGACCTTTACTGAGCACCAGCTGCACCCATGAGAAGGTCTGTAGGAAGCATGGCCCTGTAACTGCTTGGCAGTGGGTGCAGTGTCCTGTGACCCTGCTGGCTGCAGAGAGCAGGGTTTGAGAGTCACTCTCCGCCTCACTGGGCGGCTGAGGGCTGGCGCCGTAGCTTGGGGATTGATTTCTCAGTAAGGATGGGCTCCTGAGAGCTCTCACCTTGCAGACAGCTAGAGGAGGTGTCTGCCACAGCCGCAGCACTCAGTACGAACGCTGGTGCAAGACCAGTGTGCGCCATTTCCTCGCTCCCAGGAGTGTGCTCGGGTCCCTGGGACACAGCAGTGAGGCGAGGGTGGCCGTAGAGGCTGGGTCACTGCCCGGGTCCACACAGCAGGCGCTCAGGAGAGGCCGGGTTTGATTCCAAGCCTGCTTGATGTGTTGGAATATGGCAGATAGGGATTTCTGACTCCCGAAGTGAGATTTCTGCAACATTAACTCTGGTCCAAGCAGAGGACAGGGTCCCTCTTTGGTCCAAGCACACCTTTTACAAACCTCTACGGACCACCCAGGGCAGCGATGGCGAACCTTTCAGTTTCCAATGGTACCAACAGCCCACTGGGGCACTCGTGCCATAGGTTTGCCGTCACTGGCCTAGGGTATGCATAACTGAATTGCTTTCCCTCTTAAATCTGCACCAGCTCTGATGCCAAGGACATGGGGGCAAAGATGCCCCAGAACGCAGCAGAAAAGCACAGGTGGCCTTTCCTCTGCTTCTAGAGCCCTGATAATCAGCCAGGACGTTTGCTGGAAAGGCAGAGTGCTCCCTGGCCAGAACAGGCAGGAGGACTGCCTGCCCTGCACTGGGGCTTGTCACCTTGCCGAGTGCCTCGGATGTGGGTGCCCTCAGGAGCCGGGGCGCAGTCGGCACAGATGCCTGGTCAGGGGTCTGGCCCGTGCGTCCCTTCTCCTTCAGAGCAAGTGACACTGGCACCATGACTGCCGGACGGGAGGGAGGGAGGGAGGAAAGAAGCTCTTTGGCCCCGTGTGGCCCAGAATTCTGCGTGAGGCAGGAGGGAAGAAGTAAAAGACAGGTAAAGAGGAGGCGAGGAAAGTCTGAATCTTCACAATGCACTTGTAAGAAAAACCACGACTTCAGGGTGCAGCCTAGTTTAAATGTTTTCATTTTTCTCTCTTCTCCCAAGACACGATAAGCCTGGTAAATCCCTTCACCTGCAAAGCGGCCCTTTCCACCTGTAAGGAGACCACCTCTTTTCACTGTAAAATCCACTTATCCTCAAGGAAGCAGATTGTAGTGGGCGGCAGATCGATGGACAGTAGGGACCCACACCCTAGCCAGCCCACCCACCGCGGCCGAAGATGCCCAGCCCCGTGCACATCCGGGGCCGCGATCATAACACGCCTCCTTTCTCTGAGTGCTGGCACACTGAGCGTGTGCTTGAATTTCTGCCTGAGAAGCCCTCCCATGTCTCTTATAACTGGTCCTGAAAATGCTTTTTCCCTAGGTGAGAGTCAGCAGGTGACAGGCTCCTGCCCCTCTGGGTAGGAGTGACAGCCAGACAGTGTGACAGCCGGGCCCTGAGTCTGAGGATGTGGGGTCTGGGGCGGCATGGTGCCACCCCTGTCTGCACACCTGGCTGTGTGTGTGCTGCTGTGGCAGCGTTGTCAGGAAAACTCCCTTCCACAGCTCCTGCTCTGCAGCTGCTGAGTGAGCGCAGGGCCGTCTCAGCCGTGTTCACAGGGCAGGAAGGCTCACTGGGTGGTCCAGGCCCTCAGCACCCTGGGCCAGATCCACCCGCAGGGTGTCCGTCTGTCCAGCCTGGGACCTGCTGCACAGCACCGTGGTTCCCTACACCGAGGCTGTAGTGTCCCCTTCCCTGCTACCAACAGGACGACCAGAAACGCCCCAGACCCTGCCGCCTTGCCCCGAAGGCAGAACCATGCCGTGCGCGGCCCGGGCGGGGTGGGTCACCTCTCTGTGGAGACCGGCTTGTCCCCACTGCGTGCTTGGAACCCGAGGGTCCAGAAGGGTCGCGTTCGTGGCGTGTGAGGAGTTACGAGGAGCACCGGGAGGCACCGAAGCGGGCGGGCCCTGGCCTCCTGGGAGGGGCGCCCACGCTCCGGACTCCACTGCAGCGGGACCCCAGAGTTTCTGGCGCGTGCGGGCGGACTTCCTTCCGTCCTCAGGTGCCCCAGGGAGGCGTTTACTGCCCTTCACAGATGGACTCGGGTCCTGGGTCGCAGCCCACTCTGCCCGGGGTCCACAGACTCCCCTGGTCCCCCTTTATGAAAGACTGCAGCTGGGGTGCTGGGGCCCAGAGAAGCCTCAGGAGGAAACCGGAAGGCCCTTGCTGGAGCCATTGGAGAGCACAGGCCTGGCAACCGGGCTGGAACCGGCTCCTCGGGCAGGCCGCGCGCGCCCCCTGCCGGCCGCGAGACTGGCCACAAAATTACCAGGGGGCACGCTGTTCCGAGGGCACCTGGTCACTGTGAGCAACATCGGGACTGCCGCGCCAGGGAGGCCGAAGGGGGTGGCGGGAGCGAGGACTTTGATGTCAGGGCCCTTGCTGCATCCGAGAGGAGTTCATCGCCTCTTGGGGCCTCGGTTTCCCCCCTGCCGAGAGCCTCGCCGAGATGGTGCACGAAGGCGCCTGGCCCGACAGAGCGAGAGGCCCTGGCTGATGAGCGGCCACCAGGACGCCTGACCTCGCCCCCGGCCCCTCCCTGCCACCAGCCTGAGTCCCCACGCGCCTGTGTTCCAGGGTCGCTTCAGCATCAACCTCGACGGGACCGGCCTGTCCCTGACGGAGTCGGCCAGGTGGATATCGCAAGGGAATTACGCTGTCTCGGACATCAAGAAGTCCCCGGTAAGGCCGCAGGGGGCTGGGGGTGGGTCCCCTCCCCCTCCCCCTCCCCCTCCCCCTCCTCCCTCCTCCTCTTTCCCTGTGCCCTTGGCGCCCACAGGATGGCTGTGCTTTCCGAGTCCCCAGCCTGTTGTGCAGTGAGGAAGAACGTTTCCCAGCGCCCCAGTGAGGCGGCCACTGCCGCGCCAGGGACCCTGAGCAGGAAGGGGCTCCGGCTCCTGCGTGGCCCAGACAGCCTCGCTTGGGTCAGCAGGGGCTCACTGAGCGGAGAGAAAATGGCCTGCTGCCTTCCTCCTTTATGGACCGTGGCCCTGCCCTGGGCCTGGAGGAGAGGGCTGGCTTAGCAGAGGGGTGGTGTTTGTGGGCACACGAGTTCCCGTCATCAGGCCGAGCTGGGAGCCTGCTGTGGCGCTGTGGCCACTGCACCTAAGCTCGTGGGGGCTTTGGAAGGGCAGGCGCCGGTGGGGTTTGCCAGTCACAAGGCCGCGTGGCCGCCCGAGGCCCAGCTCTGTGCGGCTTCTCACCCGGTGGCTCCGCTCACTCAGACCACTGGTCAGGAGCTCCGGGCGGAGACCTGGCAGGTGCAGGCTGAAACCCCTGCCCTCCAGCCTTCCCTGCGGGTTCTAAGGGGTGGAGGGAGGCTTTCCCCGAGTGGGCGGGCCTTGGGGTCTCCTGTGGGCATGAGAGGAAGAGGAGGGAACTGGGGAGTGGATACAATACAGCACGCCAGGTTAGACTTCAACCCTGAGGGCCAGGGATTTAGCTCAGTGGTTTCGACGCCTGCTATGCAAGTGCAAGGACCCAAGTTCGATCCCCGTTACCAAAAAAAAAAAAAAAAAAAAACTTCAATCCCGAATAAGCAATGAAGATTTTGTAACGTGTCTTGAAGGTTGGATGGGACACACTTCTATTTTTAAAAGTACAGTATATGTTGTTTGTCTGAAGTCCAAATTTAACTTGGCACTTATTTTGTGCTTTTATTTGCTGAATGTGGCAGCTATTTATGTAGTCAAACTTAGAATATAAAGCAGCAGCTTGCCCCGCCCCAACGCCACCCCAGGAATTAGGGTGGTCAATTTTGACTTCCTGGGAAATCTGTTTCCTGACTTCTTTTTCTAACTGCCAGGGTTAAACTTATGGGGGCACCTCCCTCTCTTCACCTTTCAAGGCAAGCCCTGACCTCAAATCTGATTAGCCAGAGTCTGCTGCTCATGATGCAATCGTTATCTATTTTCTGCAGCACTGAGAGGAATAAATCGCTGCGAAATAGGTGCTCCGGAATGTGCCCCAAACAGCACATGTGTCCTCCCCCGTCCCTCCGGATTTATACGTTACGGGTTATCTTCCCATGAAAAGTAAGATTAGTAACTTCCTATCGTGTACGTACAAGAAGACGTTTTAAAATGCATGACGTTTCCGTGACCCAGAACAACAAAGGCGTTAACTGTCCCAAACGTGGGGAGGGGCCGCCCAGGTGCGCCGGGAGCCGCCGCAGCTGTCGGCCGGCCGGACCGCAGTTTCCGGCGGAAACGGCAGACGACGGCAGACGGCAGTCGGGGGCGCCGCCCTCCCGGGAGAAGGGCACCAGCGCCAAGGAATGAAACAGTTCAAATGTTGTTAAAAGGAAAAACGAAAAGAGATGTTGTCAGGTCTTTGCAGCCCCGAGGCTCGGGACGCGGGCTGCTCCCGGAGGCCAGCCGAGGCCACGGTGGGCGGGTGGGTGAGCCCCACGGCGGCGGCCTGCGCGCGGGGCGGGGAGGGGCGGGGAGGGGAGGGGCGGGGCGGCCGACGCGGCCCTCTGCCGGGCGTTCTGTGTCCCCGGTGCTCGCCGGGCCACCGCCCGGGTCCGCCAGGCAGGAGCACGGCGGGCTCGGCTCCGGGTCCTACCCGGCCGCCTGCGCGAGGAAGGGCTGTGGACCGGAGTGGCCTTGAAGGACAACTGGTGACGCGGTTGTCTGACGCGCAGCCCCGCGGTCCCGGCGCTCCTTCGTGTGCAGCCCGGGGCGCGCAGGCGCATACGCGTGCTCTGCTCTCGGCAGGGACGGTCTCCTTCCTGCCCGTGGTCGACCGGCGGGCTCTGCCCCCCAGCCGCACGCGCCTGCGTCGCAGTCTGGCCCCAGAAATCGGCCGGCTTCCGTACGTGTTCGCGCGCACGACTGTGGAACGGCTGCGGAGTGTTTGATGGGAGATTTTAGGGAAGCCCGAGGACACGTTTCCGGCCTTCGGGTCCTGCGTGCACGGATGCGTGTCCCTGAGGGTTTTCTTAGCGAGGCCCCTGGCTCGCAGCCCGCCACGCCCCGCACAGCGCACCGCGAAAAACAAGAATACACGAAACTGAGACATTCAGGCTGTTGCTGGTGCATACTTGAGTTTTCATGATGGAGCCAAGATTCGTTCATGCCACTTACATGTACTAGAAGTAACTGACAACACATTCATCAAAAGGAATTCTAGGTGGCCCGCCTTAATGAAGAAACAGTGGTTCATTGTATGCAGTGGGCGCACATGCTTTTTTCTGAAAGCTGCTGTCCCGCAGTAATCGTGCCCGTCTTCTTTGTTTACTCAACTGTGGTTTTATAAATTCTCATAATAAAAGTTAGTTCAGCTTTTATTTAAATTGAACGAGAGTTCCAGTTAAGGGGATGGCATGACTGCTGGAAAGCCAGAATCTGCTTCACTTGTTTAATTTCGTGGTGTCAGAATTAGACTGTTTCTCCTCTTCACGAAGCAGCTGTGATGAGGATGCAGCTGCAGCGTCCTTACGGGAATGACAGCCATCACACCTCAGGCCAGGCGCCTCACCTCGCTGGGCACCTGAGCTTTGCCACCTCATCGACAGCAGGCTTCTGGGGGAGACGATTATCATTCCCATCTCAGGGGTGCCCCCAGGAAGCGGAGGCTTACCGAACTCGTTTCAAGAGGCAATGCCAGCCCAGGCTGTCTGAGTCAAGGTGACTCCTCTGCTGGCAAGGGAAGTGTGGGGAGGCACTTTTGGTGCGGTACCGGGTCATGCTCCTTGTGTGTCTGCATCCTGAGGCCTCCAGGCTACACTTACAGGGGAGAGTCCTGGCTGTAGGACCGGTTGGTGGTGTTCCAGAAGCAGTACAGAAATAACTTCTCTGGGCTGGGGCTGTGGATTGGTCAGGGATGGGGCACAGGCCTACTTGCCTAGCACTGCAAGGCCTTGGGTCTGACCCACAGAGATGCCGATGGGGGCTCTGCAGCTCAACTCAGCCTCACCCACAACCAAGGGCGTTTTGTTCTCTTTGTTAGCTTAGCCCCTTTTCCTTTTAAAAAAATAACCCACCCACCCCCGCCCTGTCTTTCTTTCAGAAAGGGATTTTCCTTTGTTCTCAAGGGACTTTACAGCGTGGTTATATGAACCAAATTTTCACTCCATTGACACAGTCCTAGGAATGTAGCCCAAAGGTAGCCAGAAATTTAAGCACAAATGTCCTCATCATAGTGTTATTCCCAGGAGAAGAAAATGTGAGCTATTGTGCAGGGAGAGACGGTAGAGGGACTAAGGAAATGGTAATACACCCAGTGGAATGGAACCCCAGGTAGGCAAGGGGTTTTCATTTCATGGTGAAACACAAGGAGAGCTAGTTAGCAGGGCAGTGTTTCACAGTTCGAAAAGAGCTCGGCTTCAGCCTTCTCCTTTTGTACATTGATTTATTCACAACTGTATGATTATGCGCCATACACTGTGCAAGACCCTGGACACTCACATATTTTACAAGACACTGGCCTGGCCAGGCAACAGATGTTAGAAAAAGAGTTACCCAGTCACGGCACGCTGTGCAGCAGGTCACTGAGCCAGGAGGGCTCCTCAGCTTTCCGTGGGTTCCGCAGACTTTGCCAGGCCGAGTAAAGGAATATAATGCACACAGAGAGGAAGAGAGAGGAGAATTCAGTCAGCCTGGCAGGTGTGACTCCCCTTGTTGTAAGGGGCAAGGGGACGGTCAGACAAGCAACGGGAGAAATGCAGGTGTGGGGAAAGAACGCTCAGAGATGAATGAGAGGAGAGACAGACGTGTGGATCTTTAGACCAGGGCTGGGGATTTAGCTCAGTGGTTTGGCCGCCTGCCGTGCAAGTGCAAGGACCCGAGTTCAATCCCCGGTACCAAAAAGAGGGCCAGAAAATAAATATCCTAGGCTTTGAGGGCCAAGAGGCAAAATTGACGGTATTATATATGTATTTACATGTCAAGAGAAAAAGATGCGCAATTGTTTTGTTAGATTGAATATAATTTTTTATACTACAAATACACTAATGAGAAGAATGGACACTTGGAAGAAGAAAATATTTGCTTAATTAGTCTTCTCCATTATAAAAAATTATTGTAGATGTTTTTCTGCTCATGCAGATATGAAATGAGGTTTTCTGTCTTCCTGAATGTCTTTCCATGGATTGCTATTATCAGGTGCTGATCTCTGCCCACAGCTGTATAACTGCATTGAGCACACTCATGGCTTAGCGGCATTTACAGAATTCTGCTAAGAGAGGAGTGCTCCCTTGATAGTTGCCTTTAGCATGTCATTACATTTGCACATTAATCACTTACAATTGAAAATGAAAGGGAAGCCCCCCAATCGCCTAGTTAAATGGGTTTTGAAAATTTCCTTCCCACCACATCAAAGTCCAAAACACACTGGTAGAGCTGCTGTTTAAACTCTGAAAATACAGCCCCTGTGGAGTAGAGATGCTCCTTCCTGTTTTAACTTTTCACTCCATGGGAAGTGTTAAAATAGCTTAACATTACTTGTGAGTGAAACCTACTTATTCTCATTTTTTATTTTTGGGAAAGAATCATGCTGTGCTGAAGTGCTCCATGGTAAATTTTATAAACTTGTGACTATGGCTTGCCTGTACCTTGGGAATTGGAGTGCTTAGTTTGGTAGTGTTGGTGACACTGTGACCTGTCAGATCACATGATAAACACAGCGCTGTCATTTAAATTTGGTAACTGAACAATCCAGTGCCAAGCTTAAAATGCCCTAAAGTGCAAGCTTCCAGTTGGGGGTTGCTGGTTGTTTTGGTGGTGGGACTGAACCCCGGCCGGCCTTTGTGCATGAGAGGCGAGCACTGAGCTCCAGCCTCAGTCCCACGCTGACAGCGCAGCACTCAGGGCTCACGTTTCTGTTCTCTTCTCGATTTACTTACTGGTCTACCCTGCTAAGAAGCAGATGAGTAAAGTGTTACGATCTCCCAGCACACACACACTCAAACCACTGTCAAAGCAGAACTGTCCCCGTGCTTTGTGGGCCTGAGCAGAAGCCAGGAGAGCGACTGCAGCCACGCGGTCCCGTTACGCTGCTCCGAAAACAGCCGTGGACCTCAGGTAACGGGGACCCGGCTGCATTAGGGCAAAGCTTTATCCATGACTCTGAAACCTGAGGCTCACGTCACGCGCGCGTGTCAAGAAATACTAGTGGGCCTGCGTTTGCTCAGACATGGATACGTGTGAACGCCCTTGGCTTGTGGGCCGCTCGGTTCAGTTCCGACTGTGTGGGCAGAGCGGGTTCCCTGAGCTGCCTTCTCTCTGCAGGACGGCACCCGCGTGGTGGGGACGTGCGGCGGCTACTGCGGGAAGTGCACGCCCGCCTCCGGCACCGGCCTGGAGGTTCGGGTGCTGTAGCTGAGGTAAGTGCGTGCTGCGTGTGTGCTGTTCCGCCCTTCCCCGGCCCAGGGCGCGTGCGCCGGCCGGCTCGGTCGGGCCACGTGGGCGGTTCTGAAGCAGTCTCGGCGTCCACCGGAGCGCACGCACCCAGTGATAGTCAGGGGTGCGGGGCGGCTTCAGGTGGAAGAGGGAGGAGGGTTGCAGTCAGAGAGTTGCAGGACAGTGGGCCCGGGCGGGTCAGTCAATCCTGAGAGTGCCCCTGGAGACGTGTTCACACCTGATAAGATCAATCAGTGCATGCGTGCGTGTAAACTTCATGAGTGAGTGCACTTATACAGTGTTTACACATGTAAACATACGTACAGAGAAAGACTAGAAGGAGATGTACCCGATGCACCTGCATATTTGGAAACACTCTCTGGTGAGAGACTTTTGGAATCGTACTGAAGTTTTATTTCATTATTGATTACTTCCCTGAAACTTCCATGTTTCTTACAGCAAAACAAATACCTCCTGTTCAAATCTGGTCAAAATAATAGCATTATTTTAAAATTGCACATGTAAGAACATGTGGCTCTCTGACTCTTCATTTGTGGCATTTTAGTCAGAAGGCTTACATTTCCTGGTTTGCCTATTTCAGGTGGCTCTGCAGAGGAAGCCTTACGGGATGGATGAAGGATTGTGATGCAATATACCTCCGCCTTACATTGGGTGCATGTACGTGTGTGAGGCCGCGTGTGCTTGTGTGTGAGTGTGCGTGCATGTGTGTACATATGCACATATATATATAAATATATTTTTATACAGGTTGAGCATCCCTGATCCACAAATCTGAAGTCTGAAATGCTGCAAAACAACACAATACCACAAGTAGAAAATTCCACATCATGGAACTTTGTTTCATGAGCAAAATCATTCAAAATACTGTGTAAAATTACCTTTAGGCGGTATCAGGTGCATATGAAACATAAATGAATTTTGTCCTTAGGGTTGGATCCCATCCCCATGATATCTCATTGCATGTATGTGAATACTACAAAATATAAGAAAATCCCGACTCTGAAATACTGCTCATCCCAAGCATTTCGGATTAGGGATACTCAACCTGTGAAATATCCTAATGATGTAAAATTTAATATTTATGTTTGAAATTATTTATTGTGTTGTAATATTTTTGTACGTAAAATGATTTTATTGTGACTGCCTTTGCGCTATTTTGTCCCTTGCAGTCCAACCACTGCATTTTACGTACTCTACATTATATGTAGTCTTATGACAGAAGTGGTCCTTCATTATCATGGTACACTGTTGTTTACTTTTTATCTGTAAATGTTTTACTATTATGTTTTTTAAATCGTTTTTTTTTAAACAACCTAGCCATCATCAAGGTGCTACGAGAGTCGTACAAGGTATTCTTGGCATTCCCAGGAGCATATCATTAGCCGATAAGTAAGTTAGCGATTTCACAGATTGTACCAACTATGAATTGTGTTAAGCATCTCTTCCATGCCACGTGATCTCTGGGAAAAACGCTGCCTTGGTGCTAATTTTGTATGCATTTAAGTGATTTCCAGACTCAAAACCGTAAACACTGTTGATAGCCAGGAGGGAGGGAACACTTCCCAGTGGACACAGCCTCGGATGGAGCCGGAACTGCGGCTCACCTTTGCTTCTGGACACACCGTGCTGGAGGAGCTGGACTTCGTTCTTGCCACGTCTGTTGTCCGCGTGCCTGCGCAGCCATGTTGCCTTGGTCCCCTGCCATCCAGGGCTTCCACCCTGCTTCCTTACAGAGCAGCGCTGGGAGTGTGAGGTCACCTCATGGTTCTGTCACCAGCACATCCAGTAGCGGGACAGAGGAGCACAGCATGGCGGTGGCCTTCAGCACCCTCAGAAACCCGGAGAAGTTGAACCTCAGCTTCTGTGTCGCTGGGACAGCCTTCTCCTTGGAGATGCTGGCCAATGGCATACTTTCTCCTCAGGCTGTGAGCCTAGTACCCTGCCAGTTTTCCTGTCCTCACAGGTAGTGTGTGAAGAAACAAACTGGAGTTCAAGGTGCCTGAGTCCTTCTGATCTTCCACAAACCCACTTCTTATTACTTCTTTCCTGCACGGAAGTGCTGAAGTCATGATCTGTCTGCTGATTGGAGGGAATCCTTCCACCGGTGGCCACGGAGACACTTGGACTGAGCAACACCGTCCACTTCCAAAGACCAAAGAGATGAGGAAAACCTGGCCATACCCTCTAACTTTGAGCAAATTCCGGAGCGCTCCAGGAAAAGTAAACTCGATGTATGAATACGTGTTATTCTCCATTATTAATACATTGTGAGAACATATTACAAATAAATACCATGACCACATCCAAATTATTCGTGTTTTATGTGGCTCTGGACTCGACTTGAGGTGGAATAAGACTGTCTCAGTTTGAAGCAGGAGGATTCCAAGTTTGAGGCCAGCCTGGGCAGCTTAGCAAGACCCTGTTTCAAAGTAAAATCTTAAGGGCTGAGGATGTAGCTCAGTGGTAAAGCATTTACCTATGTGCATGAAGCCCTGGGTTCAATCCCCAGCACTGCACAGGAGGGAGCAAGATGACTGGAAGGAAGGAAGGACTCTAGGTTTTAAAATTACTAGGTGGAGCAGAAATGCAGGTTTCCTTAATTTCATCTATTCCAGTTGCCATTCTAGACCCAGATAAGAGAAGGTTGTCCATAAAACTGGTCTTTTTGTCAAATCAAAATCAGGGACATCTACCTCCTGTCTGCATGATGGGGCACAAACTGGCAAGCAGGTCGGGAGCTGCAAGGGCACCTGGGGACATCACTGTGTCTCATGTTGCAGTGGCCGCCACCCTGTAGATGCATGGTGTCCAGGGGAGGCGGGGCTTTCTGAGCCAGTGCAAAGCGACTGGCAGCCTGACTTTGCCAGAAGCTGGCCCTCCTCAGACTGCTTCATCTCGTCCTCATGGCCAGCAAGTGGAGTCGGTGACAGATGGCCCTTTATGGGCGAGGAGACCACACCTTTGCAAGGCGCACAAGTACAAGCTCACACACAACGGGGACATGGCGGTCTGGCTGGCACTGGATCATGTGATCACTGCTGGTACATCGCAGTGTTGAGGGGGTTGGGGTCGTGTGCCTACCAAGCGGGGTGATTGGCCTCTTCAGCAGGAGAAGAGAGGGTTCCTAGAATAGAGGGAAGGCTTTGTTATCAGAAAAGCAGCAGAAGCCGCATCTGTTTATTCTTTCCTTCATCCCCACAGTATATTTTGCACCTCTACTAACCCAGGCACTATTCTGGGCATGGGCATACGGCAGTGCATTAGGGGAAGGCAGTAGGCTCTATCAGTCTAACACGGCTGCTGTAACAACCGCAGGCTGGTGCTTTAAACAAAAGAAATGTGTTTTCTCGGGGTCTGGAGGTCTAGAGGTGGGGACTCCATGATCTAGGTGCAGTCAGGTTGATTTCCGGACAAGGGCACTCCAGCTTAGCCGGGGTTTCTCAGCATGTCCTCAGGGGGCTTCCCTCTGCACATGTGTGAAGACACGGGTGGGGGTGACTGGGCGCTTGCTCACTTGCTGTCTCTCTCCCCCTCGCTCCCTCCCTCTCTCATTTATGTATTTATTATGTTCCACACTGGGGATTGAACCCGGGGCCTTCACACAGAGCTACATCCCCAGCCCTTTTTTGAGACAGAATCTTGCAAGTCACCAAGCTACCCGGGCTGGGCTTGAACTTGCAACCTCCTGCCTCAGCCTCCTAGAGTGCTAGGATCATAGGCGTGCACCACCGCCCCTGGCTCTCATTACTTCTTTACATGCTCTATCTCTAAATAGAGTCATATTGGGCCGGGGATTTAGCTCAGTGGTTCCGGCGCCTGCCTCAAAAGTGCAAGGACCCGAGTTCGATCCCCGGTACCAAAAAATAAATAAAATAAATAAATAAATAAAGTCATATTAGGGGTTCAGGCTTCAATATGTGAGTGAGGGTGCACAGTTCAGCCCATAACAGAGGCTGAAAGAAAGGGGGGTACACTTCTCAAACACTACCCATGGGGAGCAGACACTCTGACACTAGCAGGGGCCCTGTGCTGTGTAGCACCTGCGGCTCGGCCACTCCCAGAGGGACTGTCCTTACATGGGCCATGCTTGCCATGCCCGTGTCTGCCTACAGGAAGGGAGCGTTCTGTGACAGAGTCGCTGAGGTGAAGGCAGAACTCTCACGGCCCTGTGGTAACTCCTAGCTGCACAGCCCAATCTACTTCCCACCAGGCTGCGATTGCTGCGTGCTCAGCTCCCAGGAAATGCAGGCAAGGGGTCCACCAGCCACCCAAGGAGGAAGGAGAGAATGGCTCCTGGGGACATTGTGGCTTCTGCCATAAGCAGCCACCGAAACCAACAGAAAGTTCTTGCCCTTTGGAGCTTACGTATTGGTGGTGACAGAAGAGAGAAAATAAGCAAGTCAGAATGTAAACCACCCTGCAGTTCTCCAGTAGCAAAGCTGACGGTGTCCACCCGTGGCCATCTGTCCCCCATGGCCTGGTATTCCCCAGGCACTGAAGACCTCTGAGCCCCCAAGTGCTCCTGTCTGACTTTTGTCCCCTTTGCCTCACATGTTGGAATTTCTTTGTCATCTGATTGGTACCGGAGTAATAAACAGCAAGGGTAGAGTGCAGGAAGGCGAGATGTACCCGAGGAAGAGATTCAGGGGCACCACGCAGTGCCGGGGGAGGCCATGTCACTGTGTTAAATAGCCCAGTCAGCCCTTCTTCCAGACTCCCAGAGCAGGGACAGGAGCTGCTCTGTTGAGACCGGCCATGAGAGACATAGATCAGTGCCCGCAGTCCTGAGGCCAGTGCGCCTTGCTGTAGGAATAGGGAAATCCAAGGAAGGCTGCATGTTTCTGGATGTGTGGGAAAGCTCATAATCACAGAACTCCTGAAGCAAGATAACATTTGCTGAGGACAGTGGAAAAAAAAATAGAAACCCAGGTATGGGGAGGGACTTAATCCCCATTGACGTGTTCCGTTTGTGAGGATTAAGTTGTTCCTTGTTCTTTGTTACTCCATTCTTACTTTGTCGCAGGCAAAGTACATTAACCCTCCCCCTGTGCTTCTCTTCTCTCTAGCTAATAAAAGCAGGTCCGCTGTGATCACTGAGTCTGTCCACCGGAAGCAGGCTTCTCCGGGTCCCGCTGAACCTTGGAGATCGTCTGTTTCTCTTTATTCCCTGATGTCCTCCCATAGGTATCTGAGGGTCTGATCAGCCCGTAGCACTGCCCCAACCACCCCTGCTGCCCCCACGTGTCGAGTCTGGCACTGCTTAGCCTGAACCAGGTTCTGCTCGTTTTGGAGTTGATCCTGCCAGGCATGCCAGGATCTTGAGTGGCCCAGAGCCTTCCAGAGACCTGGCTGCTCTCTCCAAAAACTAATTCATCCACAATTAAATCACTTCTAGACCCATAGCTTCGTCTTTCTTGGGGAATACTACCACTTTAAAAGTTTTTGAAATATCAAATAGTAGTCATCCCCCTAAGTCTCAAGGCCATCTTGCTGTGGCCCTGGCCACATGTTCTAGGATGTTGTCCAGCTGGTTTCACATTATTTATCACAGAGATGCCCAGAAAGGACAAAAGGGGCAAGTATTCAAGGCGTGAGCAACAGCAGCATCCAGAGACAATGGGAAGAAATAGAAGGAAATTGCACAGAAATGGGTCCTTGTATGGGACTTGCACTGTGTCACCTTAGACTTAGGACCAGATGCCTTTTAGGCCACTGGTATGAGTGCCAAAGAGTGGTTCAAGAAGAAGTTTGTGTGTAGAAAATACAATTACCATTCAATCTGTTCCATTTACAAGTTCAAAAACCTAGTTCTTTCATAAGGCTTAGAGTTCAGCTTATAAATCCTATTATTTTACTGATTGATCCACCTCATTTCTAGCAATTATGTTAAAAATACTTTTGGATAATATTTCCCTCACTCATAACATAATTCATTAAAAGGCTTGAAATATTTTGTATAGTATTTATACATTTAATGGGCTGTATTTTGGTCTTAGGTCCTTCAGTGATCTGACATGACAAAACAGATCTTTCTGAGTACCTGAATGACTTTTATAAATACAGAAATATAAAAATAAATTAGTGGCCTTAAAGTTCTTTTAAATATCTTAAAATGGAGAATTAACTCAGCATGGCTTTGACTTAAAATCACAAATGTACTGGGGACACTGAGGCAGGAAAATCACAAGTTTGAGGCCAGCCTGAGCAACTTGGTGAGACCTGTCCCAAAATAAAAGTAAAAAGGTTCACCAGTACAGCACTTGCCTAGCATCCGCAAGCTCTTGGGTTGTCTTTAGTACCAGAAAGCATGCACATGTACACACACACACACACACACACACACACACACACACACACACACACATCACAATGTGTGACTGTGGCAGCACAGAGAATGAAAAATTACTCTGAGCCAAAGTTCAGCTGAAACTCCCAAGAGGCCCAGAGGGACTGCTTCACCAAGCAGGAGAACAGGAAAACAGCACTGACCTGAGAAACCTCTGGCCTTTTATTTGTAACCCAAGGGCATGAGAACAAGGGTGCAGAAAAACATTTTTGTAGGAGTTTAGGTAGGAGGAAAGGACAGGAACAAGATGGGCTGCTCAGCAAGCTTATTGGCAAGAGGGAAACAGGGCTGGAGCAAACATCTCTAGGAGTGACTTTGCTTTTCATCCTGTTTGGCTGTTTCCTGCAGGTCTGCTCTGATCTCTAACCATGCCTTCCGGGAGCCCTGTGCTGTTGCTCCAGCAGTCCCTTCATCTGTGTACTCATTCCAAGCATTCCTCTGGCAGAGACCCCCACAAGCATACAAATCTAAATTAAGACTCAAAGACACAATTTTAGATCGATATAATAAATTGCCGCTCAAATAGTTTAAATCTCCAAAGTGTTACATATTGCGACACAAAAAGAATCTTAATATAATCATTCTGATTTCCTTAAACAATTTCATATATTAATTCTTAAAGGGTAAGAATTAACACTTAGCCTCCTATTGTAGAGCCAGGGCTTCCCGTTTGGGCATAAGATAGGGAACATCAGACAACCGGGGGTTCTCTTCACTCCAACTAAGCAAACTGTGAGACCACCCTATGTCTAGTGTGGGAGACCCTCTGCATTTGTGTTCCGTGCTTCTGTAGCAAATTACCCCAAACCTAACAGCTTAAAGCAGCATGGATTTATGACTCCCAGTTTTGGGGAGGGGTGTGCAGAAGGGGCTGCAAAGCAGCACCCCCTGAAAGCTCCAGGGGGAGTCCATTTCCTCCCCACTTCTGGCCTCTCCAGACTGCCTGCATCCTCTGGCCTCTGGGCCTTTCCCACCTTCACAGACAGTAGGGAGCTCCTCAGACCCCTCCTCTGGCCTCTGCTTTCATCTTCACATCACTTTTCCGATTTTGATGCCCATACAGCTCATCCAGGTACACCAGGTGAGTGACTAGGATCATCTTCACCTCTGCATTGCCTTCGCCCAATCACATCTTCAAACCCCCTTTGCTACATAACACGCAGTAATCTGTTGCAGGGCTCTGAAGTTTAGGACATGGACATCTTTGTAGTTCACCTTTCCACTATCCCCAGTCCAAGCACTGAAGAGCCAGATACTGGCCAGATGTTGGCACAACTGTCCACATTCCAGTGGGCCGTGCCAGACTTCATGGCGGTGATCGGTAACCTCAAGTGAGGGGTGTTCCCATAGCTGTGGTCCTTGGTTCAAATCCCACATATTGCCTCATATTTCTGCCCACATTCCGAAGTCTGCAGCAATGTGACTCTTTGTCTGAATTGTGCATGCAACTCTTATATGTAAGTCACTTCCTGCCTGTGTCTGGAAATGCTTGGACCTCACAAGCATGCTGCACTCCTCGTGTACTTCCCAAGATGCAGGGCTCTTGGGGGTTAGGGGATGGCCCACTGGAGGCTCAGTGGCGCTTGTAACTGTGACCTCTAACGAGGCTTGGAGAGCCTCATGGCTGGGCCACTTGGGCCCAGCCCTTCTGTGCCCAGCCTTCTCTTCCTCTCAGAGTGGGTCCATGTGGTGACACAGTGAAAGCATTTGGGAGCCCACTGGCATGGAGCAGTGCTCAGTATCTCTGACCTAGTCAGAAAGATTCAGTCTGAAGGAACAATCTCTGCTGAGCTGGGGAGAGGCTGCTGTGTGGGAGCTGTTGGCTCCACTCTAGCCTCGACCCCATGACCTGATCTTCATGTGTGGATCCTTCTTGGATTCTCTCTGCTCCCACAGAACTGCTGTTCTTTCTGTTTTCCCAAACCGTGAGTAACAGCTGTGAATCAGAGGACACCAGGACTGGGAGGGCCTGAAGGGCAGGGGGGCTGACAGAAGTGACGACTCTGTCATCCGAGTAAGGGTACTGCCCACGTCTCAATCAGTGTGAATGCTGCAGCACAGTGCCATGCCCTGGTGCTGACACATGACCAGCGGCTATTCCTCACAGTTATGGGGCTGGAAGCCCGAGGTCAAATTGCCCACAGGTCTGCACCCTGCAGGGCTCACTTCCTCAGACAGCTGCCTCCCACCCAGGCAGCACTAACCAGCCCCCGTCAGGCTCTGACCCATGGCTCCAGTCACCTGCCAAGGACTCCACCTCCCAGTGCCATCTCCCTGGGGTGAGGATCTCTGTATGAGGTGTGATCGAAAAATAGGATGAGTGTTTGAAGTTTTTAAAGTTCATTACACTAGAAGACACATGGCCTTAAACCCCTCTCAAAATATCCCATCGCTTTGAAGACGCTTAGCCCACTGTTCCTGCCACTTTCTGAAGCAGGTCTAGAAGTCCTCCTTCATGAGTGTCTTTACTTGCACTGTCATCAGTGTCCTGAGTTGATTCAAAACATTTACCCTTCATGGTCATTTTGACTTTGAGAAAGAGCCGGACGTCACACAGTGCCAGAGCTGGTGAATAAGGCGGCCAAGGACAAACTCTCACATCTCCATGAGCTGCCTTTCTGTTGGATGGCACTTAGCAGCAACATTCACTGTATTTTTGACCACACCTTGTAAAGACATGAGAGAGGACTTCCAGAACTGCATCAGAAAAAGGCAAGAATTATGGGACATGTGTGTTTAAAGTGTGGGCCATGATTTTTGAGGGAGATTAATGGCCTTGTGTCTTTTACTGCGATACATTTTTTAAAGATTTAAACATTCACAGTATTTTTTGATCATACTTCGTATGTGAATTTAGCCAAAGACACAAATGTTCAGACCCTAGCAGCCCAGCTACTGTGTGTGATGTTAATTCCATGGTCAGCTTGACCAGGCTACAGTGTCCAAGTGCTGTTGTAAAAGTATTGCTTCAGATGTGGACTAACTTAAATCAACGGTCTGAGTGGAGCCAATCACGCACTGTGGAGTTGGTGGGTGTCATTCAACCAGCTGAAGGCCTTAAGAAGACTGAGATTTCCCCAGAGAAGGGCTCAGACCCGAGACGCAGCACCGCCTCTGCCCGTGGCTCCAGCCTGCTGGCCTGCCTGCCTGCTGTGCCGACCTGACCCGGCCAGGCTGCCAGCCCCCGGCGGGAAGCTAGATCAGAAGGTATGGGGCCGGCAGATCCAGACGTGGTGCTGGTTCCTTAAAGCAGTGCCAAGACCACAGCCAACAGCTGTCCTGACACGAGGGCTCCCACAGGTAAGTGTCCTTAGAGAGAAGGCAGATGGAGAACCTGGCCTCTCCTGGGCACGTGGAGAAAGGAAGCCAGGGAGTCCCCCGACTGGCGTACTACCTGTGGTCGCTGCGTTGTCTTGGAGCTGCAGAGTCCTGAGAATTTAAGGTAGGGTCGTGGTCCAGCTCGCAGGACTTGTGTCCGCTCTGCTGCTCTCTGTGGTTTGGCTTTCAATAGGGCTCAGAGCCCTTGAGCCTGTGGCTTGGTGCCCTTCCTGGCTTTCTTCCGGTGCTCAGAAAGGTCAGGCAAAAGCATTGGCTCATTTACATGCAGGCTTGGGAGCAAAATAAAATCCCTTTGTCAGGAGCCAGGCCCTCGGCTCAGCAGCTGTGTGACTTTTACTATGAAGCCCTGAGCTGTCTTCACAAAGTGAGGTTTGTTTTCTCTCTCCCCGCGGGCATCAGACCACTTAGAAGTTAAGTGTTCAAAACAATTGCTTGACCAGTTTGCCTAACCCAGGAGTTGCCAAATCCGTGCTTCTTGGACAATTTACAAAATACTTTCTCTGTAGCTGTCCTTGAAGCATGAGTGGGACTAATGACTTTAACTACCAGCTCGCTCACTTCAAAGTGATTTACAAGTCAGGAAGGCATTGTGGGCTTCCCCAAACACTTAGTCGGTATAGGAAGCAAGCAATTCCAAAGGCCAGACTTCTGGGCTGGTCCCAGTCATCCTGCAGACAGGGGCTGGTTCCCAATAACAATTTCCATTTCTGCCTCCTTGTTGGTGCTGAATCATTAAGGCTCCATTTTCTCTACAGAATAAAAGGTTTCCTTGGTAATGAAAGAGCATTATAATCACCTGGCACCCAAGAAATGGCGTGGGCTTTGCAGACAAATGACCAGGTGCTCCGTGTTGGCAGAAAACCACAAAGCGGTCAGAAACAGCCTGGCAGGTGTGTGGTAGTGACAGGGGCGATGAACACCTAGCCCTCAGTTTCCCTGCTTGTTAACAGGGTTGGAAGAATGCACCCGCCTCCCAGGGTAATTCAGGAATGAGCTGAAACAGCACACAGGAGACCCTGCCAGCAGCATCCCACCTCTCTTCCCCCTGCAACCCTGCTGTCATCTTTGCAGAAGGACACCTTCTTAGAAATGTCAGAAAACCCTAAGTCATAAAGGAAAGAAATTACCAACTTTATCACATAAAAATATGAAAAATATACCCATAGACAAATCTTAATAGACACTGGATCAAGGTTTAATTGTGTGCACCATGAAATGGAAGAGAAATGCTCGCCACACGTTTGCCGGATGAGGGCATTGTTCCCTCTGACAAAGAGGAGAATACTGTTAAAAAAATGCACTCAATGCCCCTGAAGCAAAACAAAGGATTGTCACAATAAAAGAGTAAGAATGAGGATGAAAGAAGAAAGGAAGAATAATGGCAAAAAATAGAAAAGACTCAAACAGACAGCTTTTAGAAAATTTAAAATAGATGGCAAACAAATGAAAAATGTGTAGTTTATTTCCAAATAACTGAAATATAAATTAAAACATCAGTTAGATTTTTTTCACTTATCAAATGAGGAAAAAACTGGTGGTACTCTGCAAAAGTGTTTTCCATCCTGCAGTGCTTGTAAGTAGTGTTGATGGGCGAATTAATTGGAGAAACTTCTTCAGGGAAATTTGGTAATTCTCAAGATTCAAAAATTAAGTGAACTTTCAGATGCTTTCCTAAAAGCATGACAGGACGAATAGGTATGTATTGCAGCATTATTTGTAAATAGCAATAAGCTAGATCCCCCTCAATAGTGGGTTAGTTACATGAATGATGGTAATCTACACAATGGTGTATCAGTTTCCTAATGCTGTGTAACAAATCAGCCCAAAATTTAGCAGCTTAAGCAATGCACAGAATGTGCAATTATTATGTGCCAACATAAAGTAAGGAGGTCAGTGGTCTAATCTGAGTACAATGTCCTTGAACTTGTTCCTCCAGTCCCTGTGTTTCCTATAAAATAGACGCCAGATCTTAGGGCTTAACTGTGTTCAGCAGCACTGTTTCATAAGTGACACATGATGGCTTCTTACGCTACAGCTTGTGGGTCTGGGATTGATCAGTCTCTCTTTAAATGCGCCTGTCACTCCCCTCCTTAAAACCCTGTAAGGGCTCCCATCACACTTGGCTGGAATCCCAGCCCCTCCCTGCACTCTGCCTGTGGGCTGACTCTTTGCTACACCGAGCTGCTGTCCCTTGCACTTGCCAAGCTTTCCCCAGCGGGGACCTGTGCACTTACGGCTGGGGACACTCTCCCTAAGGCGACACTCACGGCTGGCAACTCCGCACTCCATCCCAAACCACTCTCCACCCCGTAACACGTTTTGTTTTCTGTTGGCATTCATCAGCATTCTGGAAGATGAAACCATTTTGTCATGGAGAAGGGCAGCACCTGGGAGCCTGGGGCACTGCCCGAGCCCAGGCTTAGCAATCTGAAGTTGGACTGAACAAAACCCCGGGTGATACTCGAAGTGCTGGTCCATTCCTGGTGCTTGGCCTCCCCCCACCAGCTGGACCCGCGGGCCCCACTGTTACTCTCCTGCCTACCCGGCAGCAGCTTTTCCCGCCTTTGAACTGCTTGCCTGAAGGCTTATCTCCCAGGCTGGGCTTCTTCCCCCTGCATCTTGTTGTTTACTTCCCTTGGGATTTTGTTTTATAAATACTGAGGTAGAAATATAAACTGCTTCCCCGGAAGACCTGTGTGTCCTGGTGCACCCACCCGCCCTGTCAGGTAAAAGGCCAAAGACCAAGACCAGACCAGGCCACAACAAGCCTTTACTAGGGGAATAGATCTGCAGGGCTGTCTCTGAACAAAGGAGAGACAAAAGCAATATGGCCGGGGCAGGGAGAGTCTTTTATAGAGACTGGGGTGGGGTTTGTAGGGGCTGAGGTGGGGTTGAGTGAGGTAGTGACTAGGGAATGGAGGAGCCGGTGATGTCACTAGGTGGTAGGAGGTGCATGAGTATTAGGTTACTTTCTAGGCGGGAACAGGGGCATCCTGGGAAGAAGGGTTTATTCTTTGGTGGGAGCAACCATCTTGGCATGATGTCACACAGGGGAGGGGGTAAGGCACCATAGGAAGAGGGCAGCTACGATCCATAATAGCTGCTGAGGTGGTGGGAGACCTATTACGCCCATATGCCTGCAGGTATCTACGGACCTGTCTGCAGCAAACAGTTCTAAATATTTTTTCAATGCTGTGCTGATTCAGCTCTGGCAAACAGATTGAGGCCATGTTTGTTCTTAGAGCATGAAGTGTTGGTAATTCTTTTTCTTTTTTTGTTTTTTGAGATGGGGTCTTACTATGTAGCCCAGGCTGGCCTGGAACTCAAGGTCATCCTCCTGCCTCAGCCTCCTGAGTGCTGGGATTACAGTCGTGCACCACCACACCCACACACCCAGGTGTATTTCTTTCTTTTTTTTTTTCTTTTGGTACTGGGATCAAACTCGGGTCCTTGTGCTTGTGCAGCAGGCAGCAAAACCACTGAGCTAAATCCCCGGCCCGCAGCTGTGTTTCTTAAACATGGGTTGAAGTCACCTATGACCCACGTGGAGGTGGTAGAGTTGGGGTCAGAGACCCTGCTGTATGGTCTCATCCTGGCTGTTAACTGTCCAGAGCCCTGCACACCGAAGTTGCTTGGGAAGGGCTGGGGGCAGAGCTACAGCCTCCAAGAGGTGACCGGGCAGACACAAAAGGGTTCCCCAAGGCTCAGGGTGGGAATGACCGGATGTACTGAGAGCGACAGGAGCCTTCACGCCAGAGGCAGCAGCAAGATGCAGAAATTCAGGGCCTCGGCACTGTCCCGCACCCTGAAAGCTGGCTCCCCCAGGATCTTGGGCAGCTGCTGTTCTGGAGCAGGCTTTAGTCTCATCAGGACCCACTGCAGGCCTCCCCAGGCCCCTGCAGAGCTCGGCCTCTGGGACCAGTTTCTCCCACCAAGGAGCCAAGAGGGAGTGAAGTCCTGAGTGGCTTCAGGGCACACAGAAGCCGACACCACTGTGTTGGTCTTGTAGATTAATGATTAACTTGTTATAGTCACAAAAGAACTACCAGGGGTTGAGGGGGCCCTGCTACATCCATTTATAAGTCTCAAAAATAGGAGCCATCATTTTTAAAGGCATTTGAATGTTTGATTTTATCTGCAAACTTTAGTTCCAGTGTCAGCGAACACTTCAAGGTGAGTCTATAAATGGTAGTTATCCAATTTCTTTTTCAGTAGCTTTGTGTTATTGACAAATCTTCCTACCTAGCTAATTTTGATAAATCTATTAAATTAAGCTGATAACTACACTGACCCTTACAGTATCTCAAATGTTTTAACGTGTAGAAGCTTAATTAGGTTTCAAATCAAAATCCTAAATCAAGATTGATTATTACTTGATTACATACATATTTTAGTGGGTATTATAGGCTCACCTGTTCAATCTAATAAGCCAAATTCTTGTCAATATAAGCATATAAAATATATATTTTAGTATAAAATAGTTAATATATCGTTATGGATTTGGGCATTATTGTAAACGGCACACAAGAAACCATCCCAACACAGGCTTAATGTGAGCAATGGGAGCTGATTATTTCTGCCTGGAGGCAGGCAGGATAAGATGGTGAATGATATCACAATTCCTGAGAAGTTGTGTTTTCACAGGGTTTGGGGATGGGCCTGTAATCCTACAGAATCTGGAGTTACTCCAGATTGGGGTCAAAGTTCCCCAATAAATTATGGATATGTCTCTGGAGTTTATGATGAATGGTGTAAGGGGCAAGACTGTGCAGATGTCTAGGAGAACAGGGCTCCGGGGAGCAGAAACAGCATAGGCAAAGGCCCTGGGTAAGACTGTGCCTGGTATTTTGAAGGCACAGCAAAGGGCTTGAGTTGTATGCAGGAGGGAAGGATGCTGCGGGATAAAAGCAGAGCACCACCGGCAGTTTACATGCTGCTTTATGATCCCGACTTCCCTCTGAATGAACTAGGAGAGTACTTGACTTGACTTTGGCTTTGAAAAGCTAAATAAAAACATTTTACAGATCCTAACTTTAGTGGGACTGGGGATTTAGCTCAGTGGTTTCGTCGCCTGCTGCGCAAGCGCAAGGACCTGAGTTCAATCTCCGGTACAAAAAAAAAAAAAATCCTACCTTTAGCTCATCCAGTCCTTCCAGTCCTTCCAGTGCATTTGCCATCACTTAATTCTCTTTCTCCTTGAAATATCCATATGGTTTCTTATTTACTGAATTGACCT